TGAGTGTGTAGTGTTTTATAATGACCGTATATTGTGTGAGTGTGTAGTGTTTTATAATGACCGTATATTGTGTGAGTGTGTAGTGTTTTATAATGACCGTAAAGACAGCAATAGATCAATCATGTATGGTTTTAAAGGGACATCACGCGAAAGCCATATTTTTTTTAATGAATGTATGTATTGTATGCACTTCCANTGTGCCGTTTTTTATATCGGTCGTAGAAAAAGCAAATTTGACAACCGTATATGTTTTATTGTTTCTTGTTTTTCAATAGTCGTTCAGACAGCAAACGGGCAACCGTAAATTATTTTCATTGTATTGGATTTTATCATATTTATATATATACACAACATCAGGCAAATGGCATGGTTTTATCGCTTGTTTTTTTAACGATGACACCGACAACTGATGGGCAACCGTCTATGGTTTTAATTGCGGCGTGTTTTGTAATGGTAGTAAAGGCAGCAAATGGGCAACCGTACATGTATATGGTTAAAGTGCTGTGTTGTACAGTGATCGTGCAGACAAGAAAAGGGCAGCCGTATATAGTTTCAATTGTGTAGTGTTATATAATGGTCGTACAGACAACAACACTCCAATCGTACACCTGTCCGAGTACGTGGCCTGCATCCGGTTACTCTAGTTTCCCCCACATAAAGATCCCTGCACGCTTCTCTCCGGGCCTACAGAAATAAATAATATAGGGTAAAAACTGATTCCATAATTATTCAATTAAATAAATATTTATTTATCCATACCATACATGGTTTCAGTATGATACAAACAATATAGTAAAGGACACATTATTGGAGCCCAAATCACAGAATGTCTGTTCAAAGAACGGTGCAATTCACTTTTGTCCTTCTGACCCAAATTGTAACAAATGTTTAGTAAATACCGACCGTGATATTTTGACCTGAAATGCACTCTGAACGTGGAATCCCTGTATAGATATTTGAGATTGATTGATATGGTTTAACCATTTAAAGCGACATTGATCGTTGACGTTATTGACCCTAAAGGAAGCCCTGTATTGTGGGTGTGTTTGACTGAGGCAAATAAGGTGAAGTTATTGCCAATGCGAGCGTATTGCAACATGAACATAACACACACACACAGATAATTGCATTTTTCAAGTTTGGTAATAGATACAGTTTTCCAGAATTGATTACACTGCATCATATAACTGTTTCGTCCCTCTATGATTCATCGGTGATGTTCGGGGCTTAACAGTTAGAAAACCAAATTGTCTTAACTACTGTTTGTTCAGAGAGGCTGTTGCGTAAAACCTATGAATTTAAACATTTAGATGGGTATTGGTTATTATCAAATCAAATCGTATATCAATAATTGTGTCTTTATTCAAAGAGAAAATTGCGGCCAACAAGATTACAGCAAACTTTGGGGCTTAAACTCCACCAGCAGAGTCTTCCCCTTGTATCTTGTAAGGAGGACGTAACACACACACAGATGAGTGCACATTTAAAAATAGGGTAATAGAGCCATCAGAAATAGTTCTTTTTAATGTTTTAATAAAATTACGAAAACGACCAGGCGTCATTTCATTATTGTCATAGTGAAGAGATTCAATATGAATAGGGTCGATATTACGATTAAACAAATATTTGATGCTCATGCTGGTTATTCGTGGAAAATCAACCGACGGAGACACATACCCATTGGTCTTTGTGACAGAAAGTATGTCCACGAATTATACAATACAAGAGAAATCAGCCCAAGGCTAATACGTGGCGTTTCGGGAGAATGTGTCTGTAACTCGATTAGACGGGTCTGCGACTTATTTGAGGACTGATATTGTAACATGTTGATTGGTATGTGTCAAACAAGTGCATGGTTGAGTCCGCCGTCATCTTTTTCTTCGTTGGAGATGTGGAATTGTTTTGACTTCTCTTATACAACGGTTCCAGCCGCAGGCTTCCTGCTAAAGAGACTTTTGTCCCACAATCTCGTGAATGTACCTCTCAGGAAGGGAGTTTGTCTATACAACATTATTTACGTAAAAACTTATCAGATAAAGGAGCTCAAAAAAACCGTTTCCGACTTAATTACGTTATTTTCTGGGGATTTTTGTGGTCATATTTCCGATTTCCTGTGTAATGTATTTAATAGCTACATCTCAATAGTCAGACAGGATAGTTATATTATGAGAAGTTCTTTTTACACAACCATTAAATGGTTGTGTAAAAAGAACTTTTCATAATCCATACTTACCAACCTGAAGAAAATGTTTAGAAGGATAGATATATGCATGGTAACTAGAGCACACACTGGAATTTCTATTTTACATACGTTCTATCATATTACTGCTTACCGCCGGGATCGGGTTTCATGCTTCACTTCGGGTGAATGAAGTTTTCAAATCACTCCACATTAAACATAGTGAGTTTTCATGACATTACGTTGCGAAATAAAATACTCATAACACCATTACTTTTCATTCCTTTAAAGCAATATTTTATTCAACAAAAAAAATAGTATTACAAACATTCAATCGCACAAAAAAACATTTTGTTACATACATATTACTTTCAGGGATTAGAAAACAAGCTTAGAGCTTGTATCAATTCGATGAAATTAGTTGTCCTATAAAATGTACAATGTACATGTAACTTTGACTAACCTTCATCTTACTTCATCTTACTACGCCCACAATTTGAAATGTATTATCTTTTTGTAGGATGTTCAGTCTCAATTGTTCATCTCCCGCAATTCAATGATGATGCAATGTCAATGTCAAAGTATTGTAGGCGAGAGGGTCGTTGACGGCCAGTAGTTATTGGGCAAAAGGTAACAATAAATTCACCCATACTTACCCGTGAAAGACAGGATGTCACCTGTGAAAAGATAAACATGTTTTTCCCTCCAGAAAGACAGCCTACACGCGCTATATGACGTCAGGAAGTTTGTCGCAAGGCAAGTCCGCCAAATGACGTCGGCGTTGTAAATAGTTATGTTGTATTGACTTTGTCTGATAAGATACTTTATGTAAATATTATATTTGTAGGATATATTAAATATAAATATTTACCCTCTTCTTTTTGGTGATAAAGAACTGCTTATTGTTAACTTATTTCCATAACCAGGGTTTTTTCGGATGATAATTTTACGTGCCAAGGTGGCTGACCCTGGTGGTGGACACTCAGACCCCGAGATTGGCTGGAACCTTGTAGCTGGAACTTATTCAGGAACCGTGAAATCATTATCAGTTTCAGCAATTTATACCGTTATAAAGGGATTTCATAGGCACCTATAAGGCATGGATTTTTCATTATTTTCTCCTTAAGTACCACTGGTTAGACTTCATAGACGGAATGGCAGTAATTATGATGGTAATCTTATTCACGTTGTGGATTACAACACTGATCCTTTAATACTAATTAATTCTATGTTAACGTCGTATACCACAATGGTTGCCGAGGTAATTGTAATCCTAAATTCTGATTGGTTGAAATTACTGTGTAACGATGAGTTTCTACTTTACTTTTATCAGAAATGAATAAATTACAAAAGCTATGAACTTAAAAGTGTTGACTGCATTTTTAAATTAGATTATAAATGAGAATCAAGATCATTTTGGTGGTTAAACGGCAAATACTGAACTAAAGTGTACATACAGTTTTTTTCGATTCATTCCGTAAAGTCCCAAACATATCCTGTTTCCTAAAATAACCAACCGACGAGCATATGAACTGCAAGTAAGACAATTTCCGGATTGGGACCAATATTGTAGTTATATCACCTTCAAGTAGGAATTGGAAATGAGATATTCGCTATTAAATATTGAAGGAGGATGTGATCGATATCACAGATACACGCATTTCCTATCAAGTTGTTACTTTAAAGTTATTTCCTGCATAGAGCAATACAACAGTCGGTTGGTTATTTACGATATCGACGCTCGGAGATTTTGTCTTGTAAACACATTGTTAACATATATTGGCTGATTTTCATATATTAGACAAACGTTATTAACGCTTGTCATATGACAAAACACACACTGATGGGTAGTGGGAAATTTTAATATTTTACAAAATAACATATTGACAGCTTGTATAATCCGATGACTATAAATACATTGACTCTTAAATCAGCAAAATACTCATATTTCATGGCGCTGGGTTAAAGTTCAATGAGGTCTATATCCATACTGACATCCTCATTTCCACCAGGACGGGTATGAAATGGACCTATTGTTTGATTCATCTCCAAATCACAAACGTTTGTTACAATATTATTTAAATCTATACATAGCAGTAAAGATACCTTTCATCTATCCATCGTATTAAAACGAGCAAGAATGATTTGCGGTCAACGTTTTTGCAAATTTTTCGGCAAGAACCCAATGAAAGCATATCTTATGAAATAATTTTTATTTAAAAAAAAAAAAACATTTGATGTGTCTTTTTCTATCTTCAGATTTACTTGTTGGAATTTTCTTCATCTTGACTGACATTTTTTGGAAAATCACAATTGAATGGCATGCCGGGAACGTCGTCTGCAAGTTGATCAAGTTCACGCAGACGTTTGTCATGTACGGATCAAGTTATGCACTCGTCGCTCTGACCATCGACAGACTGGAAGCCATAGCAAGACCGCTGAATTTTCAGACAAGGAGTAAGTAGTCAGTTTGGATAACATTCAAATTCTGGAGAGGGCGATCGTAATCAGCGTGTGGGTCCTGCATATTTGGAAGAATTAAAAAAAAAATTGAAGATTTGCATTGGCTCCTGGCATATTCTCTTTTTCAAGGTTAGATTTCGCTAACTCTGACAAACATAACCAAACTCATTGTCTTAAGTCAAATTTTATTAGTTCCCAAGTCATTATCACCCACATGATGAATTTAAGCTTAGAAATTGACTCTTAATTTTAGAGAAAGTTATTTACCTTTCGGATTAATAAAAATCTAAAAAAAAATCAAGAAAAAAAAAGATAAAATATTTTCAAAATATCTCAAATGTTAAATATAAATAAACTAATTGAACTAACATTAGTTTGAAAACAATAATTTCACAAAAAAAAGACCTTTTGATACTGTGTTGCAGGAACTAGTACAAAGGCCAGTTAGTTTAGTTGAGTTCACTGCTAAGCTCACTTTAGACTGTTGTTGATTAGTTGGAAGTATATTTTACTAGTCTATTATAAAAGGAGTTGTAATAGATATAAGTTTATTCGAACATAAGGCATGTGTTTTTTTTTTCATGTTGCTTTAAGTTCGGGTAAATTTTTGGCCTGACTTTGTGAGAAGCACGTAAACAACATGTCCTCAATTGGTCAGATTATCCAGTATGTATTTAGGCGCTTTTGATCAATTTTCAGGAGTGGTCATCGTATGTACAATGACTTGGTCGGTTTTATTTAGTTTATGGGGGATCTAATAGTCAGCTTTCATAATGATTTAGCAGATTGTAGAATTGTCTGTTTGCAAAATGAGTTTCAAAGTCAGGACACAGACAAACTTTCTTCAGGTCAATTTGACATGAATTTATGTTGTGGACATGTTGAGAGTGGTCAGATGTGCAGTGAGTTGGTAAATCATCCTTTTATAACGTGTTTGTCATATAAAATAAAACACTTGTCGATCCCAGTTAGACTAAGAGGTGACTGAACAATGGTTTTACGTAGATATCTACATGAATGCTAATGTCGTAATATAGATTCACATAAAGTCAATATTGTTTTATTAGAGTGTCTTAAAACACAATGACATTGTAAGATTTTAAAGTCATACAGTTACATAAAAGCATGTAGGTACATATCAGAGATCAATAATCTTATATAGAATAATGTTAAAACAGTAATGATACAGATAAGTCATGTATTAACTACCAACATTATCACAGATATCAGTCAAGAGAGCAAGTGACCGGGACACCCCCTGCCTTATACATGTCTGCATGTCGTATTCCGTCTTTTCGTATTGCAGAGTTATCTTCTCTTTGGAGCAGGTATTGATTGTTACGTCATTGGTCTGTGTAAGAAAATTACGTCGTTCTCGCAAAAATTGATGACGTTACTCTCACAAACAAGTGACGTAACAATCAATACCTGCTCCTAAAAGAAGATAACTCTGCAATACGCAAAGACGGAATAGAGTTAATGAAGGAATTAGAAACCAAATCGACACGAAACACTGTGACAAAATATGTTTGACCTGAAAGACAATATCATGGAGTTCACTTTGAGCATGGAATCCCTGTATAGATATTTGCGATTGATTGATATTGTTTTACTTTTTAAAGCGACAGTGAAAAAGCGACAGTGTTGACGTCTTAAAAGCTTTAAGAAAAGGACGACCTGTATCATATCTGTGTTTGCTTGAGCCAAATAAATTGAGCTTATTATAAGGAAACACATACCAACGGACGGGAAGACAATCGGGAGTCAGTTCAATATTCTCTCGATCATTTTCTTTTCTCGCTTCTCCACTCTATCCGTTCGCGGACTTTATATCAGCCCTCGCCCTCATATGATCGTAGTTGTTTAAAGAACGTTACGTCATACAGAAACAGATCTCTCCGATCGCAATAGTGCTGTGACTATATACGAACCTGCAAGAACCTCAGTTGCAAGAGCTCTTTGATTTAAATTTTACGTGTTTATAATATATAATTCAGACTCCGATATGCTTGTTTTATGTATTTAGATCCCGTTTATTTGACGTTGCAATTTTTGGACAATGACTAACCTACATTAGTTAATCTGTTGATAGAAATTATTTATTCATGCATTATTTTTTGGCCGTCTGTAGGAGAAAGTAGTTAATCTCTATAAAAGTACTTGTAGTTTTAAAATTGATTGAATAATATTTGTGTGTTTCAGGTTTCAAATGTTTAAAATAAAAATGTATCCTTTTTAGTATGTGCATTGTTGACAAACCCGCTGACAATTCATTCTAGAGAGGGACAAATAATGATGACATTCACTCGATTATTTTATTCTAACAACTGACTATCCAACGGTGCCTATTGAAACTAATGCAAAAAGAACGCAAATAATAACAACGAATTGGGATCCAAACACACGTAATTGGAGCAGCAGGTTTATCTGTGTCTCCCCTGTGTCGGAAATGAAAGTACTCGGTCCTGCATAGGGGGCCAAATATTTGTCCCCAAATTAAGCCAGTTGCAGTTTTGAAAAAAGCTGCTTAATGATGTCCCCAACCCGACGTGTTTATCAGACATAATGAGGATACATCTACTGGACGTTGAGGCCATCAAATTCATGATCTGCATGTGTTCGCACCAAGCAGGGTCCGTCCATACACAGATCTAGAATGTCGCGCAGCTTGGAACTTTGAAAATTCAAGTTCGACTAATTATTGATTTTGAAAACCGATAGTTCCTTATTCTTAGAAGTCTTCAGTATACAGTTTCTTTAATTTGATTTTGTTCACCGTTCCCTGCAGCAATGACGACGACAACAATTAAAGCGTTAACTTTTAACGGTCTTACCCTCCTCAGAAAAAATAGATTTAGTTTCCACCAGGTTTCATTATAGGGATACATCTTTGACATGAGACTGAGATACCTCACAATTTATGTGATCAATTGAACTTTTTTCCCGGTATATAAAACAGCAATTTTACGTGTTCTTTAATTACTGTTTTCGTTAGTTTTCCAAAATTTGATTTTAAAGAATACCGTCAAGACCAGTACAAATGTAAAAGGAATATACAATTTCTCACTTTCCGGAAATGACAGCTTTTCCAATGCAATTCGTGCTATTTTATCACATAATTGTCAATTAGATCAAATGTTCCCAACTAACTCCATTATTACGTAGGGTACATCAGAGTCTTCGCAGGTTCCAAATTGCAACTGGAGCAGCTGTATGTTGATTCAATGATATTATTTATCTGAGCACTGGCGTGTTATTCAACAGAATTATAGTCTGCTAAGAGCCGTTGTCAGTACAAAATCAGAACTTTGAAAAATATCAAATAGAACAGTGTCAAATAGAACAGTGTTCTTCGTTATAACATAATTTTGTTTTCCGTCCTATTCTCCTACCTTGAATCCCCGGCAATGTCGGAAATAGTAACAAAGAGGAAGTAGATTGGGTTTCTAAAGCAACACTTGTCTTACAGCAGGAGGTTATTATACGGCACTACTATGTTTTGAGATTTTCGAATAGAAAACGTTTTTGGCAATATAAATTATCTGAAGAAAACACATATTGGTTCATATATGCAAAACGTTGTTGGCAATATAAATTATCCGAAGAAAACAAATATTGGTTCATATATGCAAAACGTTGTTTACATAGGTCTTGTGATATATTAATAATAAATAATAACATACAACATTTGTAAAGCACCCTATATAATTTACAAAAGTACTCGAAGGCGCTTTGATATATACTCTACAGTTCGCTGTGTTCACGGTCACAAACGATATCGCGGAATTAAATGCCCAACGAATATTACTACCATGTATTATAATCTCCTTGAATATGTATGTATATATAAACACTCACAAATAGCCGCTTACAGCCGAAAAAAATAAAGATGAAACAACCATTCAATACGCTATTTTACATATTTTCACAAAATACTTGTAAAATAAATCACCTCCCCTCAATACAAACGTATCTTTGTGAGCACAATAATTTTACCTGGCATTGTTGAGCGAAATTTAATCACCGCTAAGTAGTCAGGCTAACCGCAAAATATTACCCCGCGAAATAAAACAACATACAGCAATATAGAACCAACTCCTTTCTTATGAATATTTTTGCATCTGTTACCTTTCTACACCTGAGCTATGTTTGCATTTGTTTCTAAAAGGTGATTATTTTTAGTCCTGTTCGGCCCTAATGATTTAAACTGTCGAAATGATAATAGTAAAAAGTAACAAACGAACAGTCGTATCTAATTTGTACCATCCATCTTGCAGGCAGACGTTACCGGATACTCATCAGTTTGGGCTGGTTCTTTTCCTTCCTGTTCTCACTGCCACACCTCCACCTATACAACGAGGAAATTGTGAACGGAGGCATGGACGGTCCCAAGGTGCAATGCTGGATGCTACTTCCGGAACCGTGGATGTGGAGGGTAGATACAGTTGAAGTAGAAATGTTGGCGGCTTGAATTTTTTCGCATTGACCGAGTTGAGTGAATGAGCGCGAAAATATCCACTTGAGAATGTAACTTAAGGATTATACATATAAAGAATATATTCCGTCTTTGCGTATTGCAGAGTTATCTTCTCTTTGGAGCAGGTGTTGATTGTTACGTCATTGGTTTGTGTGAGAAAATTACGTCGATTTCTCAAAAATTGATGATGTTACTCTCACAAACAAGTGACGTAACAATCAATACCTGCTCCCAAGAGAAGATAACTCTGCAATACGCAAAGACAGAAAAGAGTTCAGACCTTGTGTCAACGCAAAAGTTTCCTCCGCACTAGGATAAGTTTAAAGAGACACATTGCGAAAATTTTCACTCGCGAACATTTCCACATTTTCAGTAAACATTTTACTTGCCTTATCACGACTGGAAAACACTGTTTGTGTGCTTTTTCTATGCGTTTGATAATATCTTATTTTCAACAAGATTATCGTATATTTAAAACTGATGTGCACTGACATTACGGTCAAATCAAATCAAATCCTAGTTGGATCTAAAAATTGAAAAAAAATACCGCAAATATAAGCAAAAGGAAACAGTTTACACGTATTATCGTGAAAAAAATGAAAGCGCTAGTATGTTTAACAAATATTCAATGTTCATATGAAGGTTCATCTCATGAAATACAATACAATGTTAATGATGACGTAATTGATCTTTAGGGAGCTACATATATTTCTACCTGTTTAACAAGTAGTCCTATGATTGCAGTCCGTTTGTATTAAGAGGTATTCTAACCTCGTTGACGCTATTTATAATATGGTGAAGCGTGATCGAACGAACAGAACCTCTACAACTGATTTCATCCATGATCAAATCTGACGTAAATAACTTTAATGCGTTTCGAATTTCAGTTTTAGAATTGAAAAATATAATTTGTTTTTAACCGACCTTGCTGCATTAAAATTTGATCAGCTTTTCCCAGATGTATTTAATATGCGTATCAAATGAACAGGTAGATGAAGCATCAGAGGTAGAACTGTTGGTGAATTCTTTAAGCGAGATAGCAAACCCAACTCCTCCCACAGGATTCACATTGGCAATGAACACGTTACAAAATTCATTCAATCATACCATTCCCAAATTGTCGTCTGCTGTCTCGGATTCGAAAACCAATCTCGGCGATCCCATGGCTTTACCGTTGATTAGCCAGGAACGATCGATGTCAGATTAAGGACTAGCATTACTTGTCGTGTTGTGACGTCATCTGAAGGTTAGGATTAAAGGCAGCAATATGTTCCTAGACATTTTGTAATTGGACATGTTGAAATTAGATAATAGTCATGACATTACATCAAGGATGTGTACAGATTGTCGTGGTGTTATTTTCCTGCTGTCGTCTACTCATTATGATAGACTATTTCCCGGCGCTTCTACACAAAGGTATACGTCAGCCGTCGTCTGACATTATTAAATAAACTGTCTTGTCAGGTTTTGCTGCTAGCAAACGTTGATCGAAGCATTGCCACTAAGTCAATTTCGTCGGTCACAAAGATCTGAACAGGTCAAACTTATCTAGTCTGTCATCAACAGTGACAAGAAAAGAAAATGTTTTGCAGTTTATTGTTTTGTGAAATGCCCTTGTATCCATACAAAAAAAGTACTTTATGACTTGAATTGGGTAAACATGTTTTGATTAACAAAATCTCATTAGGTATCCTAGAGGCCAAAATAGTGAAGTTACAAAAGGGTGAGATTAATTCGACCACACATCTTTTCCTGCAAAATGGTAACTTGTCATAAAAAAGTCAAATAATATGGCATTTCTCTCTCCCAAATTCTTTGTTAATTGCTAGCAACTTTGCTTTAACTTCGACCATATTACGGTTTCTTACCACAATTAAATGTCACACAGCTTGGACTACGAGAATGATAACATTTGATGCGGCCACAAGTTTCTGAAAAGTTGCGGCTAACCAGAATACCATAGAGAGAGAGAGACAATACAAGCCGAAAGAGCGAATCATAACTCTAGCAGGAAAGTAATACTAGATTAACTAAAACAAACAGGATAAGTCAAAAAGGTGAATTTCAAATTTATTGAAAAAAAGATATTACCGTTACAGTAACAAATTTGCTGTAGTTAAGAGATTGTTATGCCTTCCCATTTGCTTGAAATGGGCGTCAATCTCAAACTTCGTCTAAATATTGAAAACTTTAAATTCAATTTCCCACTAGTAGAACAAGAGGTATGTACGTATATGAACATCCATTATTTTGTTGCTATTTATTTATCTTGCGATGTTTTAAATTGGTTTGATAATCCTCACTGTGGGTGAAGAATTTATGTGCATATTTAGATTTTGCTAGCCTATCATAATAGGAAGATCACCATACCACTACCAAAAGCTGTAATTTTCCAATGAAGATCGATTTTTGCCAGCGTGGCTGTGACTTGATTTTTGCCAGCGTGGCTAGTTTGATTTTTGCCAGCGTGGCATAGGTTTGATTTTTGCCAGCATGGCTATAGTTTGATTTTTGCCAGCGTGGCTTGTTTGATTTTCGACAGCGTGGCTAGTTTGATTTTTGCAAGCGTGGCTAGTTTGGTTTTTGCCAGCGTGGCTATAGTTTGATTTTTGCCAGCGCGGCTATAGGTTGATTTTTGCCAGGGTCGCTATAGTTTGATTTTTGCCAGCGTGGCTAGTTTGATTTTTGCAGGCGTGGCTAGTTTGAATTTTGCCAGCGTGGCAAGTTTGAATTTTGCCAGCGTGGCTGAAGTTTGCTTTTTGCCAGCGTTGCTTTAGTTTGATTTTTGCCAGCGTGGCTATATTTTGATTTTGCCAGCGTGGCTATAGTTTGATCAATCATTTGTGAGAAAAACCAATCATGTCCTGTGGCACTTTTCTGAAAAACGATAGAGATGAAATAAATATATAAATAATCAACAACAGTTTTCTGATTGTAAAAATTCAGCGGGTCTACATCTGGATTTGAACCCTGGATTTCAGATTGTTTCTATCGCTCTAACCACGTGATCAACGGAAGCGTCATGGGCCCGTACTCACATGAAACTGTTTTCATGCTCAAGCAAGGATCCTGTGCTCAAACCAACTTTCTTGTAACTCACTTAAATCACGTCAAACGATCATAAAGTCAAATGTTACCATGGACAACAGTTTTTGGCTTAAAGTCTCTTCAATGTTTTTACAAATCATTGACAAAATAAGTTACATTTATTAATTTATAACGGGAACAAGGAATTTAGCTTGAGCACAAAATCCATGCTTCAGCAGGAGAACAGACAGACAGACAGACAGACATTCTTTATTTCCTCTTTTACAAGAGATTAAAGTCAATCAATTCATACATATATGTTTACATTTCAAATTACATAAAGCTGGCGTTCATCAATAGAAAAAGGAAGAGAGTTACAATAACGTGTCATCTCACACACCATTCTTTCTAGATTAATTGACATATTAACCATCATATTTTCCCACTCGTAGTCTTCTTTTAGGATATTCACACCATCTCTTAATAAGAAACTGCATTGGTTTTCATCGTCTGTATTTGTAAATGAAATAGAGGAGGGAACTTCTAAAGCATTCACCACACCATCCATCATTAAGTCACGCGTTTCAAACAATTTCGGACACTCAAGCAGAAAATGAAAAACAATTTCAGCAGTAGATTTACCACAAAGTTTACATAATACAATATCGCGTTCAAATATTAATGAATATTTCATTAGTTCTATTAACTGCCACATGAATTTATGCGATTTTTGCTTGGTACTCAGTTCTAATATGGGGTTGATTCCCTGATAACTGTGTATGGCAGAATAACGAAGCAATTCCGCTTTTGTAGATAGTGCATCTCTCCACTGTATATGATAGAAATCTGTAATAAATCTTTTAATAAAACGTTTCCAGCATAATATTGGAGGTACAAATATTATTGGTTAAAAAGTCAATTAAAAATGGTTCTATATTAAACTTTTGTATGATGTTGAACACATCTGGAATAAATCCTATTTGTACAGCGGACAGTCCGCCAAACATGAACTGATGACATAATCTAATAATAAACATGGACGTCCATACATTTCCTAAACACAACTTATTCCAAAATAGCCATGTCGGCATACGTTGGTTTATGTATGATGTCAGTATTATCCGTTTGTGCCACTGGGTCTCTGTTGTTGCTGGGTACTGATGTATCCTCTCTGGCTTCTAGCATTTATATATCGTCCTTTTTGTGCCTAGCTTTCAGTACCTCAGGTACTTTGATGTTTTTGTCTCTTACTACCTTTTGTAGACTATCAATCACACAAAAACAAATATTTTATCTCATCTCTCAGATTGAGAGTTTCGGCCTTCATTTCCTTCATTTCACATCTGTTCTGTTACGCGATGTACTCAACTTGATCCATGATATCATTTCGCATTCCCACTTACAGCACGAATAGATTCTCTATATCATCCTTGCTCAATGAAGCGTCCGAGGTAGTACTACTACTCTCACCTGTCCCACTCGATGGGACTGTATACGTACTACTGCGGGCAGGAGAGTCACACATTGATTGCACACGATCTTTATAACTTTCAACTTTCACTTTCTACACTCCCAGCAATATAATGGAGCAATAAATAGATATCTTCCAGCAGTTTTTCGATTGCTGACGAATTTCCAGAGTTAGTTCTTTTTACAAGAGAACCTTATGGGGTATCACGTTTTGTCCTTATCGCGATATCATACAGCGACGATCTGGTGTGTATCACCCTATCTACGCTATTATCATATATTGACCTCAGCTTTTGTTTAAATGCAGGCTTGTCTAGGGTACCAACTAGATCACAAAGGTGTTGATAAACATCCCGATCAATTTGTTAACTTGTCATATCGATAGCGTCATCAGCGTCGTCGTCACGTTCACTCCGTATGAGCTCCTCACCCTTAACTCCCATTGCATGTCATTTACCTGTACGGAGGTGTCTTGTATATTATATGATCAATACACTATTTGTATGTTTCGAAAAGTCTCAACATTTTCCTCGTGTTGGAAAGTATAGATTGTACATAAATGATTGTGTATAGCACAAGAAGTGGGGTGTTTATGTGAGATGTTTCAATGTTTCGAAGACTAATATGATATATATATATGTACTCTGACAACTTCATCAGACAAATGACTTATGGTGCGTATGATTTTCCAGTAAAAATATCCGTCGATTTTGCACGGACATTTCTAGACATTTTCTTCAGAATTTCTTGACATTTTTCCGCAAACACGCCTACCAGAAAATAGCAATGGTTTCCACACATAAAAGATTTGAACTTGTCATATGCCTTGTTGATAAAAAAAAATAAAAAAATAATGAAATGAAATAAAATAAAATAAACTTTATTCATTCTACAACAATTATGAAACAAGTTATTTCAACTTATATTAATAACTCTTGTTGGCCCGGATGTTAGTGCAGGGGGTCTGAGTGTGGGAGGGAACCGGAGTACCCGGAGAAAACCCACGTAGTCGGACAGGTGACCCTAAACTATTTCTCGTCCGATCGGGAAATCGAACCCCGGCCGCCTTGCTGAAAGACAAGTGCCTTGTTGATACTTCCACAAGGTAATTTTCCATTGTTTCTTTATTTCAGCCATACATCACACTGATAGCCATGGCTATATTTGTGGTGCCCGCCTTGATAATTATGGCATCGTACATGTTCATCATCTGCATCATATGGAGGAAAAACAACTCGACACTCTCCTCACACGACTACAGCGAGCGCTACCTACTGTCTGCTGCACAAGGAAATGGTAGGTCACGAGATAAATTACATATGTTAACGTCAGCTGAAGATAATTGCAATTGGTTGATTCTATTGTTCTTGGGGTTAAAAACATTGCAGATTATATGAAGAGTGGTGTTATTGTGGGAATGTTAAATGATAAAGCTGAAAAGAAAATGTTCGACACTCGTCTCTTTAAGGATGTACTCTTCTGTGGTTTCAATCACGTTCAAGTCTCGTTTTGATCTGGTGTAACGGGTTTTTGTAATATTTAACAAACTATGATCAAGTTTATTAGCAAACACGCATCTGAAAAATATGTCAAAAAACTAGATGCCTGTTGTTTGTAGA